TCTTATCGTTGGCGGTCTCCTCGCGGACGGCCAGATACATGCACGGGACGTATGTCAAGAAGTAGATGATACCAGCGCACGCCGCCGCCAACTTGGCCTTCGAGTACAACACCGATATCAGGAATCTGTGTAGGAATCAGATAATATGGTGATTAAGGTATTCTTGGGTTTGGTTTAAGGGCTGTGTGTGTGTATGGCTTACGAAAAGACAATGTTGGCGATGACAAAGATCTCGATGTAGAGGAATACGATGACTGGGTTGGAATAGGTCAACACCAGACCGTAACGGAGTATTAGTGTGAGCACCACACTAGTGATGGACATCTGGGTGAATGAGGTGATAAACCAGGCCAACCAATGGACCAACGAGTTCAGTCCCATAGTCTTCATCACCTCTTTCAGCCGCTGCTCCTTCTCGTAGACCACCGACTGGACTAACATCGATAGGGAGTACACCCACGATATGGCCATACAGAGGGGCATCACGTGACTGATTATGAACAGGAACCTGGATGGTGTATAAAATGTTACCATAATTTGTTCGATACCCTATAGTAGGGATAATCAATATCACATACTCATCAGATATATAGCACGGGTACGGCATTTGATGCAAATAAGTGCCCGGTTCTGACACATCCCGATCGGTCTGAAGGCTGACCATTGCCCGCTCGAGTATGTCCTGAATCCATAGGAAACCGAACTTATAGTAACTGTAGCTCCAGGACGGGCCCGGAGACCAGAATCGGTCCCGTATTTTGGCTGTTGTCTGAGTGAATGTCGCGTTTTGGCGTATTTTGTATGTTATATGCGGTGGCAATGAAGTCGAGTTCGGGTCGATGTCAAAGATCACACCTGAGAAACAGATACAAAACATAGAGAGTATTAAGAATCTAATGACCACAAGAGTGGGCCCAAAATAGGCGATAATGGTATCCAACTTACTGGCGACGACCGTAATGTTATCAAAATAGGCCTGTTTTTGAAAGTAATGGATCAGATCCTTCTCGGAGGCGAAGCCGCGGAAGACGTTGAGCGAGATATCTTTGGTCAACGACAGCCAACTGCATGCGGCCTCACGTATTAGCCGCAGTTCGGCCTTAAACTCGTCCAAATCGCCGCCAACGCTGATCGAGCGGTTCAACAGTTCCAAGCCGTGCGCCAAATCCAAAAAGCGGAATATCTTCGGCAAATGGAGAATGTCTTCGCGAATCTTGCGGACGGTCTCGAACTGGTGTTGAGTGTCGTTGCGGTTCAGGTAGTCCTCGATCTCTTGGGACACATTCAACAGTATGTGCGCATAGTTTGTCACTCTGTCCAACAGGTCAAAGGTCTGGTTCGCCCGCTGTATGATCTTTTGGGCGGCGGATCCGGTGCCGTTCGGCGCGTACAAAATGGTTGGGTTCGAGTACAACATATTCAACAACATCTTCTGATCGTTGATGAATTGGTTCACCGGCTCGTCGTCCGGGTCTTCGTGCGGATCCGTATCGTTGGACGAGTGCTTTTTGTCGGGCTTTGGGTCCGGTTTGGGTCCGCATATAGTCTCCTGCATCTTCAGGAACACTCGCACCAAACCCTCGATGTTATTCTTCTTCTGTTGGTCGGGTGTCTCCGACGCGGTCTCGTTGTGGCCACTATTGGTCAGGTCTTCGTTGGCGCCGTCAACGGAACCGATGGTGTCATTACTGGTGCTGTTTTTGCAGACATCGTTGGGCAGAGACACCGCGATTTGGGACAACTCTTTGAGTGTCACCTCAAACACAGCAAACTTGTTGAGATCGCCGAAGAACTGATTGATCCGCCGTTTGGCCGCCCGATAGTCCCAGTCTTTGGCCAACAGATCCCGGATCTTACTCTCGTCAAAGTGCTCGCGAACCTTATGTGTTAAGTCCCGTAACTGAGTGTCGGTCAGTGTTTCGCACAAATGGTGGGAAACGGCACCGAAATCGCGGTCATAATCGGCATTCGCTGGCCGTATGAATGGCGACACGAGTGCACCAGAGGTAGTGTCGTTGAGGCAGAAGAAGCCGCGCACCGAGTCTTTGGTGATGAGTATATCGGCCGCCTCTTTGGCAAACGTGTCGGCGTCGACAGTGAGCGCGCCCTTACTGTACACGTTGAACATCCAGGCCATGGCGCCGAAGATCTTCGAGTCGTGCAACTGATTCAGTCGCATAAAGTCGTATAGACTGAACGGCTGGCCGTTGGGAATGGCGGCCTCTATGCCGAAGAGTGTGTCGTGGATGCGTTGCATATTGAGACCCGTGTCGTACAGGGCGTTCACCTGACCGTCGGTGAACCGCAGGTACGGCTCATGTCGTAGATAGTGGGCGAAGTGTGCGCTATCATTGAACAGATCCCTCAGCCGAAAACGGCCCGCTCTTAGGAACTGCGAGTGTATGGCAATGGGGTCTTCGATGATGGACTTGTATATACGGGGTATGGACTCGAGCTCTTTGGGCTCAAACCCGCGACGGATTATAAAGTTCTTCTTCTTCGCCAAATCGTTCAGATTTGACAAGAATTTCGCCAAACTATACAATTGAGAGGTGTTTTTGTGGTTAAGTTTTTTTTAAATACTATGAATTGTGGTTTTAATTGTAAATTTACGTTGAGTTGGGAAACGTGTCGAACCCGTCCTCATCCCTGACCCCTCCCTCGCAGAACGACTGCAAGACTGCCATCAGTCCGGCCGACGGCAGCGGTCGCGTCGAGAAGGCCACTCGTTTGTTAAGACAGTAATTATAGGCATGTGTTAATTAATTGTTGTTTTACATGTTATGCATGCGTTTGTGATAAATGTTAGTTTATTAGTGAAATTGTAGTTTAAATAACTTCTAACATTAATTCCTTTATGTTTTTGTTAATTAATGCCAGAAATATATTGTATTTATAATACCATTTAATTTAAAAATAGAATTTTTATAATTAGAAGTCATTTATAATGTCTTTCAAAAATAATTAAAAAGACATTAAAAATCAATAAAATGAATGAATGCGAGAGAGTGAGTGCAAACGGCGGCTACTGATGAACCAATTCTCGGCCATTCTGTTCAAGCGGTGGTGCTGTACGAAGAGAGAGAGAGAGAGAGAGAGAGAGAGAGACTATTATTAATATTTGAAAGAATTCATTGATTTTACATATATTTACTAAATTGAAAAAACACTTAAAATAATAACGAAAATAAAAACCATATTTTGTTTATCAATACTGTATTGCTATAAGAATATTCTTATAAAAACCGATTTATATCTTATTAAGCATAATAAAAAATATTATTTATTGCATTATTTTATGCTTTTATACTGGTATCTTATAAACAAAATAGATATTATAAAAATACAAATACTCTTTTATATAACGACTACAACTACCGGTGCGTTACTACTACTGAACACCCACTGACTTATTAAGGAAAGTCATAAATCATTTATAATACTTATATCTTATGTTTGATGTATTGAAAGAATTTAACCGAAACAATGAAAATTTTCCCAAACATTGTATTCAATACTGAAATTGTTGACCAAATAAATAATTTTGTTTATAACTTGATAGACTAATCATTATTATTCATTTATTAATTTAATTATAAAATTTATGCATGCAATTAAATCTGACATTTTATCGCATATATTATATAATACAACAATAATATGCAATAAAGTAAAAATATGTTTTATAATTAGATCAGAATAAATGTATGAATAAATATTTCAGACGATTTAATAGCAATAATAATAGGAATAACACTATAATTATTATTTGAATTAATATATAGCATATTATTCATGGCATGAATTTATTGAATATTTCATTCATATTATACAGAATATTCTGTTATAAAAGTATGCCTTCAATAGTAGAGATGAATACAATGGAAACGCATGACATAAATAATGCATTTGTTATCAAGAATTTTGTTTTTACTTAAATTCTGTGCAAAGAATTCAAAGAATACAATACAATGACTACAGAATTGACATCAAAACATAATTAGCAGAAAATTCTGTATATAAAACATAGATATATAAAGCGATGGGAATACAAAAGTAATTGGATTTTCCATCATGGGTAAATAATAAGTTAATAGAAGTTTCCATTCAAATGGATAAATATTTTTACATTTATAGTGAAATTATGATTAAAACTATAAATTAAATTGAAAATACATGTTATTTCGATCTACATGTATGTATGTATAGATAGAAAACACATAATTCATATGCAAAATAATGTCAATCAAAAAATAAATACACGATATATTAGGTAAAGAAATATCAAATATTATTATATGTTTCTATGGTTTCTAAAGTTTTTTAGCGAGAATTATATCATAGCTATTGTCTGACAAAATAATTGATTCAAATTTTTTTTGCGCTGAAAAAATTTTAAAACTTTAAAAATAACATTTTAAACAAATAATAAAAATTTGTTATTATTATTAGAAACAAAACTCATTAATTCAGTAGACATTTGAAGCAAAAAAATTAAACAGAAAAAACAATAATTCATATGTATTTCTAGGAAATTAAAGCCATTTTCAACGTTTTGCTGAAACCATTAATTAGTCTAACATTTTTAAAAATAATATAATAAATGTTTAGCTCACAAAATATGAGCTGAATTTGTAACTATATTTTTAATCAACTGTCA